TTAAAATTTCGTCGGAACGAAGTTACGGAAAAATCAATTAACAAACGGAGACGTAACAATAGTATAGATTTGAAATACGCACGCATATAGTGATGACTAACTTTAATAGATGACTGTATAATAATAGAAGTTCAATTATCTAATTATCAACAATCAAATTAATAAAATTGTAAAGGATAAAACTGAAACAAATGTTATTAGCTTATTATGTTCTGATTGACATCTCTGGTATTATTAACTTTTTTTTAATACGATGTATATGTTGGATGACCTAAATGTTAACCCGTTAGATACTTAAGCATTTATTTGAATTTCATATATATTTAATTATTTTATACTTTGTGTCTTTAATGTCTGAAGCTAAGTATTTTAAAATGCATTTGTCTTTATTAAAATTATTTTATTATATTGAAAACTTCATGTGTTAGATAATTTTCTAAAATCTTGTAATACGATAAAATAAGATTTACGAGATGGCGTAACAAGCAATTGACAGGCACAACTTATCTAAATGCGTGACTTATTCTTAGGTTGTACAGTCATGAAGACGTAATTAGTTTGTACTTTAGTAAGTGTGTTAGCAATTTTTGTCATAACGCTTTAGTTAGAATAGTTACATGTGATCTTGAAGTGTACATCGTTTCGAAATGGTGTACTTAAAAAAAATTGGACTTAAATTATTAATTTTATTTTGTGTTAGTTGCGCAGATGCACAAATTTTTAGTAGTTTCACCGGAGATGGTATATCCAGTACCATTGGTAATATCTTGCGTGGTTTCTCAGTGGGTGTAAAAGAAGTTACCAATGGTTTAAGAAGCATTGAAGAAATATTAGATATAGTAGACACGGCTGTTGAAGAGGAGTGCATATTTTCTTGTCCAAGAGGTATTTTGCATGCTTCGTCATGCGAAGTTATGGCGTTTACGTTTAGTTTTTGCTTAGCTTAGAACTTTATTATTTATAGTTTATACTATAATATAGTTCATTAGAACTAGAAGAGAAATATATATGAATAAAAGTATATAAATTATAATTATAATTTCTAAAGCTTAGTGGGAACTGGTTACATTAACGCTAGTATTAATTACTGTAGTACTGCCATAAGGTGTGTTAAATTTTGGAATTGGAACTGAAATTATGTAAACTTACTGAAAACAAGAAATGTAATTGTAATTTTTATCATTAATAAAGTTAAAAAAGGACACTTAGATGTTATGTGGCTCATACGGAACCATTTGGGGCCCTAGGAACTGGATTTTTATTCATTTGGATCCTGCAGTGTTCAGGGATTTATCATCCATTAATTTAACCAGGTGGCTTCAGAAGTTGATTCATATAACCTATTCGGGCTTATCTGTTATCGATTACAATATGTTGCACATCACTTTTCACCAGATTTGGCATCTATTGATGTCATTGGTTGCCCTCCTGAAATGTTCTCTGGAGAACATTTTGTGGGCCAATATGTGGACTTTTCCTGACACTTTCATATCTCATTATCTTCATGATCAGGCAGTTTCTTCTTCAGTGGGATTTCGTCTCCCCCATGTGGCTTTACTGCCTATCTCTGCTAGATTTTAACAAGGAGGTGAGTAACTTTCTTACCTGACTTAGATTATTTTTTTTTTCTCTTTTTCTTCTTGGGTCCCTCTATTTCTTTTGGATCCTACTCAGTGGTTAGCCTCTGGAATGGGTTAACTTCAGATATGGTAGGTGCAGTTAATTTAAGGGAGTTCAAGAGAAAGCCTAATAAGTATTTGAATGAGAAGAGCTTACTTTGAGTTATTGTTTTTTTCAGTGTTTAATTTAGTGTATAGGGTGCCTAGATGGACAAAGAGGGCCTTTGTTGTCCTTTGATGTTATGTTTAGCCTGTTGTATTAGTGTTTCAGATAATTTTGTAAACTTCAGTAAGATTACCACTTATTCTCATATTTCTCAAGAGAAAATAAGAGATCTAAACCTATTACCATAAGATAACCCTTTTATCCTCAGAATCATCCTAGTAGCCCATCTCAGAGCTCTTTTTTTTTCTAATTATTGTTCTTTCTTAGATAAAAAGACCAACATTACACAGGATATTCCTGGTGAAGCATAACTAGTAATTTTTATGAAGATCTAAATCCTTGTGATTTTGATGTCTGCAAGTACATCCTAAATGCATCTACCTGTTTCTTAGCACATCTAACCATGAATGAAATTGTCCAGTTTTAAGTTTTTTTTTATTAGCTGGAGCCTATTGGCCTCTCATCTAGTGTTTTACCAATCATGTCACAATTGGAAATCATCGATTGCTGGTTATTATAGTGCAAAATTGGCCTGATTCTGATTGCTGATTACGATTATGTAAAGTTGATGATGTCATTTTGTACTATTGTTTACAGTTTAACCTTAAAAATTGTAACATTTACAGAGAATGTACTTTGAAGTTTCATTAAATTTGAAATTATCAATAAGTGTTCCCTGCGGAAAAAAAAATCTCTTCCTTTCTGTTATTTGGATGAGGGAAAAATAAAAATGGGGACTGACCTTGTGGGTAGTACACGATCAATTCATATGTGCCTGTTGTGAGAGAAGCAATCCAACCAATCGGTAATCATGTTTGTCGGGCCACAACTAACTTTAAGTTTAAGGTAACTTCTTGGAACTATGCATATTCATAAATAATGGGACTGTCAAATGATGAAATGGAATGTTCCAAAGCTGTCCAGTAGGTTAATTATTTTGTAAAGATATGTATATAACTGTTTCCCACTTTCAACTTATAGTGACTTCTCCTACACTACAGTGACATGCACAATTCAAACAACAACCCCTATTGAAAGTAATGGAACATTCCAAATTTCCAATTGTTTTGTTATTATGTGCTTTTTGGCAATATCCTCAAACAAGGAGTTAATACACAGTGTGGTACTAACAGGGAGCCACATGGCATATCAACCTGATATCTTTGCAAGAAAAGTCTGCATAGATCTTCAGCAAGAACACAGTGTGTATTAGCTCTGTGCATATGGTACTGTTATTGACCTTTCGCTAATGTACAGACTGTACAGAAATGGGTGTCCTTTGCAATGTACCTTACACTCGGTAAATCAACTTATGTAAATAAATGAAAAACAGACAGAGATTCTTTTAAATGATGATATATTATTCTATGTTGAATAATGTTTTGTGTCAAAAGAAAATGGAAAATACAGGGTTGTGACTGTAAGCATACTTATAAATCAAAAGATTGTTGTTGTGAATAAAGTGGTCTGGGTGGTGTTATTTTTAATTTTTAGCAATCAGTTTTTCTGTGATTGGGAAATTAGCAAATTCTAGTGGTTCCGTTTGTTGCTTGAGTATGCAGTAATCGAGCTGATTCCAGTTGCCAAACTGATTATTGGTAAAATGTTGCTCTTGTTTGCTTTATACAATAGCAACTATAAAAACATAAAACATTAAGGATGGTTCATTGAGGCTGTCTCACTCACTAAACTAAACTTTAAAAAATAACCTCAATGCCAGATCTTATCATTTGGATATTAATTAAACCTTCTCTTAAACACATTTAAATTTATTCCATCCACCACATCTGAAGGCAATCCATTCCAAATGTCAAATGTTAGAAAAATAAAAGGGTCAGGTCAATAACCCTTAAAACCAAATGGTCATAGATTTTAATGCTGTGTGGCCAATATGTTGATGCCATAGAAATAAAAGATTTTGCCAAGTTCATATCTCTAGGTTAAACAGCTTTTATGCTATAGGTCACCAGATATTTGACTCAAAATGGCTCTGAGCTGAAGATCAATGACAAAAGTACCAATAACATTTTTATTTTTAATGCTAAAGAAAACAATTGCTAAAAATTGCTCTCGCTGTATATTTAGTTTTGTTAATGTCAGGATTTTGACCTTTTACCTTGAATTGTTGACTTTCTCCTTCACTTGAACTATCTTCTCCAGCATGGATGACCAAAATCAAGGTTGGATACTGAAATTTGTATCATCCTCTAGCTTTGTAACAAAAATCAGTCTAAAAAAAGTAACCTGATTGAAATAACAAAATCTAATCGTTTTATTATAATTATTAAGTAATAATTTTTAACTCAATGGTCAGACATGTACTAGAGGCAGTAAATTATTTTTATATAAAATTTCTAAGGGATAACACCAGCCATTTAACCCATCCAGGCTATCTTATTTTGAAGTACTAATCTACTCCAAACTACATATTGAAAACTCTTTTTCCTGTGTCCAACTCTGATCTCTAAACTACTCATCCAATCTCCTTTTCTTTAGTATAACAGCATCAACAGCAGTTGAAGGTAAACTATTTCATAGGCTGACCACCCTATTAGAAAAGTAGTTCTGTCTTCACTGGAGTTGTTTGAATTTTTGATATTTTAAACTTGTGTCCCTCAGTATTACTGCTTGCAGTATCCAACAACTGAACATAATTTTTTTAAATACTATGACCAAAACTGAGCAAAGTGTTCCAAGTTAGGTCTAACCACCACCTCATAGAGTGAGCCAATCAACTTGTATTTAATATTTCCATGTATACAACCTAAAATTATATTTGCCTGATTTAAACCATTGAACATTATCTGAAAGGATTGAGATTTTGTAATAGCTATGCCTAAATCTTTTTCCTCATCAACCAAACGTTACAGAACATTGCTATTGGAGTAATTAATGTTATGATCAAACATGTTCGTTTGACATTTGTTCTAGACACACATACACAAATTTGAATAGGTAATATAGGGTGGTCCAAAATTATCTTTTCTATTTTAAAATTTAATAATTAAATAGCTAAAAAAATTCAACCATGCAGTTTTTAACATCTTGTAGCCCAATCAAACAGTTTATATTGTCATGTTTTTTTTTTCTCTCCAATGAGTAGTGTTACCCCGTAAAATGGCAACTGTGCAAGAAAAAGGCTCAGTGTGATGAATTGGTCGGGGTGGGCCAATTCTGTGGTCTTTGTGTTCACTAGAGATCAATAGACTTCTTTCTTTGGGGGTATGTGAAAGAAATTGTGTATTGCACACCTATAGCAAACATCATGGAGCTGAAGACCAGGATAATGGATGCTATCACCACTGTAACTGTGGGCATGTTGCAGCGAACGTGGAATGAAATTGAATATGGGTTAGATGTGCTGAGAGCCACTAATGGTGCACATGTAGAGGTCCACTGGCGTGTCAATAAAAGCCGTTTGAGTTTGGCTACAAGATGTTGAAAACTGCATGGTTGTATATTTTTAGTTGTTTAAGAATTAAATTTTAAAATATGAATGATAATTTTGGACCAACTGTATTATGGCACATTACTGTTCTGTATACGAACAGTGTAGTTTTATAAGTTAGTTAATTGAGTTAAATATTTGCTGTGCCATTACAAGACATGTAAGACTAGTGCTTTTGAACTCTGGTTCCAATAGCACAAGCAGAGGAGAATGGTGATCCATTCTCTCTGGATGGAGTGTCAGTTCATTACAGGTTAACCTCCAGCTAGGAGATAGATACCCATAATATATTTGGGTAGACTGGAACAAGTTGGGTGTAGTTTCTTGTTTGAGGACACAAACAGCATGATGTAGGCCAGCCTCATTCTCTCAAACATTCAACTACAAGTTCAAAGTACGAAGCCACTAATGTTAGCTGTTGCTACTGCCTCAGAGAATTACACCAACATCATGACTCCAAGGTGACCATCAGAGTTTATACACTAGAAGTTTTAACATGTTTTATGAATCTTTATAAAGTTTTTCAAGCTTGTAGTAAAAAAGTTTTTTGTAGACAAAAGAACAACAACTGAATTTTTAATTATTTTATACTAAAAATTTATCTGTGAGTACATGAAATCAGAGTGTTGACTGCTCCAAGTGCAAATTGATTTTCATGTGAAGATTAAAAATACTTTTCTTCATCTGAAAATTTAAAATTTTATTTCCATAATCTCTAAACCTCTTGAATAGATATCAAACTTTTTTTCTGAAGAACTTTGTATTTTATCTGTTATTTTCTCTACCCTAACTCTAAACAGATTTGGTCAATTTGAACGACCCCGTAACCACTATAAAACTTTAAGGGTTGAAAAATGTGAAATAAAGTGAGTAGCACTGTTCTGTCCTTTTTTGTTTTCACCATTAATTCTTAAAGTACTTCCTCTAAGAGTTTCTTTTTCTAACCTTTTTACTTCTATTTCCTGTTTATTTTACTGTTAGCAGCTGAAGTAGAAATCTGCTGAACATAAAGCAATGAAGCACCACTCCTGCCATTTTTACATGACACCATAATGCAACATAGTAAATAGTAAATAAACTCGTGGTGCAATTACCAGAACTTTTCTCCAGAGTTGATTATAACCCTGGCTCCCAGAACACAGTTGGAGAGGGTTTATCAACTTGTTTACAGTACAGGGATGCAACAAGAATTGTTTAAAGTAATAAAAGTGTGAGAAAGTGTTCATGATATGATTCTGTACAAAGTCTGGGCCTATCCAATAAACTTGGTAGGTATTTGAATGTTAGTTATCCTTCTGGAGTGGTCAGAATTTAGAGATATATGTGTACAAAGTGTTTATGAGGTCATGAACATATGTATGTATATATATGTGAATGTATGTATTATTACTATATATTCATAAATGCTTAATTTTTCTTAAAACATAATATAATAAATAAAAATTGTATAGAAAAATTATTTCTAAAATTGAATTGTACTTGCGCTTCGTACTTGGTAAGCCTATCCGTAAGCCTTGTTTACTCTTTCAAATGGAGGGGAAGACAAGTTAATTTTTGTAGATTTCAAAGATGCATTTTAGAAAAATATCAAATGGCTGTACTGGTACACACAAAACCAATGTAATTTACCTGGCTTTCTAACTAAGTTGTATGTGGGTTAAAAAAATATAATTTTTGTTCAGAGCAATGACTTAGTCAACATACTTCGAAATTCCCAGTAAGATTAAAAGTTTCCTCTCTATGCCAGTTAGAAATGACTGTCAGATTTACATGGTTTGGAATGTGCTCTTTCAGTTGGTTATGAATGTCTACACAAGAAAAATATGTGTGAGTAGATAAGAGGTTTCTAAAGAATAGTGTAGTGGGCAGGGCTACCCTGGAATTTTGCCAAATATATTGATATCTCAGCAAATCAAAAAGGTGGGAGGTTCTTATTTTATATTCTAGTTTTTAAACATCTGAAATATGAGGTTCTAATTTATTAGCCACTGTAGACATTGTATAATAAGCATAATAAAATATAAACTGAGCAGTAGGACAAGAAGACATACATTACGACAAACAAAAAACCATATATTTTTTTATTGTTTTCATTCAGATTAAGAAATTGAAACTTGTATAATTTGAATTATAAACTACTTTGTGATGCCATTTTTATTGACATAAAGTGATAATAAAGTTGATTGATTAAATTTTGAAAATAACTCTCTAAAACGTAGTGACATGTTCCCTTTGACCTGTCCATAGTGAGAGGATTAAAGCATTCTGATGCTGTATGAGTTATAACATCTATAAAATGATGGAGATAATATTCAGCCATGAGATCATGTAGTAGAAAAAATTTGAAGAGACTGAATTTTGGTTTACATGTTGTCCTATGACTTTTGGTAGATATGCACACATGAAAAAACATTGTTTAAATGAAAAAAAGATACAGAATTTTGCACAATTTATCAGTACCAGATTGTTATATTTAAGAATGATTTAGTATCAAGAGTAAATCCTTTCTAATTATCCATCCTTCAAGTGCTGAATTCGTGACAAATTCTTTATTCTACTCTTAACTTCTAAATATAACAGAAATATTAACAGGAGGATTCTTAAGAAACAAAACTGAGTATTTATTTGAACTTTCACATACAAAACAAAAATTAATTCAAAAATGCTGAGACCAGCCTATTACAAACAACACATCTGAACCTCCAAGAAAGTCTAACTTGAAAACCTATTATTTGACAATATAACATTGACACAACTTCAACAATGTAATGTTTACATAAGAATTAAGGAAAAGAACAATAAAAAACTATTTACTACTCATTAAGCCTGCTCTCTTGAGTCAGTAAAAAATTTCATAAACAAAGTTTACAAGAAAATAAGATGACCTAGATCAGAGGTTCCCACACTTTCCCATATTGTGACCTATGTGAATAGCCAGACAATTTTTTGTGTCTATGCTTAGTTGCAGAGGTGATTACTATTTTAATATAGTGCTCTTATATTTGTGAATTTGTTTGTAAACATATCAGGTTCATTATTTTATAAATATTTTCAAAAATATGTTTTATTGTGTCTTATTATGCAAATCTCTTAGCCATATGTTGTCCCAAAAATGGGTTAAAGTAGTAAATAAGTGACTACCTGGTGTTAATAAACTCATCTCTGCTATTTGTTTTTGAGAGTACTTTCATTATATGTGGGTTGGTATCATAAAAGTATTCACTATGTATTTTTTCTGGTGTTTTACAAAATTTAGTAGGATTGCTGGACTTTATGAATGTTTTTTTTTCATTAATCATGTAGTTTATTTGGATTTTTATCAGCTGACTTACAATCAGGTTTTTTTGTTCTTTAAACTAGAAGAGGACTGCAATTATTATAAATATTGTTTGGAAATATGTTTAGTTTTGAATTGACACTGTTTTTATTGATTAAAGGGTTTTATTCTATTAAAATGAAATATAGTTTTTGCATGGAAAGGCAAACATGTACATTAGATGAAGCCTAGATTTCTTAATTCTTAATATGAGAAGCTGCTCATTTTATTGAAACTGAAAAAAAAATATTCGAAGGACAAGGTGTAAGAATTTTCTCACGTTTTAAAAAATCAAAGCATAAAGCATTTTCAAGAAACATTGTTAAATTGATAACAGTTAATCCTAGGAATGCTAAAATTCTAAACATTAAGCAACCAATTCTTCTGTTAATGTACAGGTGAACAAATATTTAGTAATTTATATATATATATATGTGTGTGTGTGTGTGTATGCGACAAATAAAAAATATTAACACATCCATATGCCATGGCAGTATTATGGTGTTGAACCATTTTGTTGTCTTCAGATTTGCTCATAAAAATAAACTGATTTGTAATTCACTATATTTAAATATGATTATAAACTAGAATAAGCTTGCAGTGTTAAACTTTTTTTATAATGGATTTGTGTATACATTATAGTTTGTTGGATAATCTTCAGTTTGAATTTATTGGTTTGAACCTCAGACTTTAAACATAATATAGTAACAACATTTCACAGTGTAATGTTTAAGGTCATTATAAAGTGATAATCAACTTATTTAACTGTGCTAATAAAATGCTTTAAAAAATTATCAGGGCAACAAGCCATTCGAAATTCATATTTTTCAACTTACCCAAATGGCTGTGGATCTTATGGTTTTCAGGTAAGGTTGTGTATTAATATGTTAACTACTTGTTTGCCTAGGATGTAATGTTTTGCCAATTTTTGCTCTCATATTTATTTTCATAATAACCTGTGAATTAAAAAAAAATCTCTAAGGGATGAGATTTAGAATGTAGTGTTTAAAAATAAAAATGGCCCAGTACTAATGTCTTATGACAAGTAAAATTGAGTAACATTCTGTTTTTTATTATTAAGCTATACTAACCTCTGTAATGAAAAAAAAAAAAGTTTTGTCTTATCTCATTTTAAGAGTTAATTTTAAATCATATTCTGATGTGGTCTGTTTTTGAGCTATGTAATGTGTCAGTGACTCAGTGTTATTTATCTCACAATTTATCATATTGTTCAAATACTTTTTGACTTTGAAAATCTTCTGTAAGGGTGTCTATAATTTTATGTCCATATCAGTAACTTTTACTTAACTATTCACATTATCATATCTTACATGAAAAGAGCAGAGGAGTAATTCAAATGGAAGATGAAATTTTTGTGTACTTTATGTGAAACTGGGAGAGTTTGAAAGAGCTGACTAATGAAATACTGATGTGAATGAAAGCATGTTCTTGTGTTTTTTTACCTTAACCCTTTTACACAGTTATGATTCTTGAACATGAATATGTGATCAATTTGACAAAATAAGGAAACTATGTAAAATATGTTGCAAATGTATTTGAAACTAAAATTATAAAATATTTGAATGTGTCATGGCTTTTTATGAATAAAACAATGCAATTTCTAGAAATTTTATGTATTTCACTCCAATAATTCACTTCAAACCCATGAGCTGGATAAACATATTAAATACATAAGATTTTATTTACTTATTTTTAGCAGTATAGCAGGACAATTAATAGTATTTCCTAATAAATTAATCAATGGTTCCATTAATACAGAGTTCCTTAAACCAAGTACAAGCAAAAAAAAAAAAAAAAATTAAGCATCAGGTACTGCCAGCCATTTGCCTCCTGTCTATTCAGCAGTTCAAGGAGGAAATAAAAAGACAATAAAGAGTTGATGGCAGGTGCTGCTAGACATTGGCCTGTTCCTCTAGTCAGCAGTTTAATCCTCTCTCTATGGGCACCTTTTATGAGCATGTCTCAGGAATTTTAGTGAGTTGCATTCAAAATTTAATTAAACAACTTTTTGTTCATGTTATACCAATTAGTATAGCATAAAATTGCAGCTAATAATCCATAATTTAATAGTATATACGTTTTAAGTTCTAAATTTATAAGGCAATATTTCAAAAAATCCTGAATTTCCTCTAATATGAGATATTTTTCTCTAAGCATCCCCTCTTTAATTTATTTACCACTCATTATATTGTTGTCATCGCTCTGGCCCCGTGGTGGGCAGAGCAAAGATAGCCCATTGTGTAGCTTTGTGCTTAATTACAAACAAAACAAACATTGCTCTGCAAAGCATAATTTTCATAGCCTTCAATCTAGTTTGTTTACAGAACCACCAAGTAGAAAATCTCACCTACCTGTCACATCCTTGCTTTCAGGATTTGTCAGTAGTTCTTTTACATTTAATACTGTATTATTTATAATTAATAGAAAGTCAAGGTTTTCATCTGTCAAATGACGTATCATATTACATTGTTTTTTGCAAAAAGAATTGTCAATTTCTCTTTTCGTATAAGCTTTGTTCCTACAGGAAATGCATCAACTAGTTTGGATGAACTTGTAATGGCTCTTGTTGCAAAGTTAGAAAGCCAGAAAAATTGTAATAGTTAATTCAAATTGACCAACACTGTATAGAGTTAGGGTACAGAAACTAACATCTAAGATATAAAGTTTTACTGAAAAAAAAATTCATTTGAAATGTATTTAGGAGGCTTAGAGATTATGCAAATGAAATTTGAGATTTTTGAGATGAAAATTTTTTTTTAAATCTTAACATGAAAATCACTTTGCACTCAGAATAGTAAAATAGTAAAAAAAATGAGTCTATATTCATTGATAAATCTTAGTAAAAACACTTCATTAAAAATCTCATTTTTTTTATAAAAAAGACCTAATGTTTACTGAAAATCTGCCAAATTTTGTGAAGATACATTTATTATATCAAAAATTAGTAGTATCGAAACTATAACAAGTACAAAGTGATCACATAGTACGTCAATTCAACCAAGCCTGTGCTGAGAGAGTTAAGTAGAAGAAAAAACTAAAGTTAAGAATGGGTGCTGCCAGCCAGTTGCATACCCTTTATTCAGTAGCTCAAAATTTGTAATAGTGGCAGATAGCCTTAGTAGTTATGCCAAATCAAAGGCAGGGTGAGCAAGTTCAGTGGAAATGGGAGTTGCTCCTGAGACCTTTGAATTATCAAAGCTGAACAAACTTCGAGGAAAAAAAAAACACCAGGTTATAATGCTAAAACTAGGCAGAGCATATATTGTCCATTATGTAGTTTTGTGCTTAACAACAAACAAACATGATGGTAATATTTCAAATACTTAGGGAGTTGGAAGAATCAAAAATAGTAATAATCCCAAATCTTAACTTTGATTTAGCTTATTATTTTTGTGATAGTCAATTTAATCTTATGTTAAACTGTGGAATCTCAGTATCTGACTCACTATCATCTTCACCGTCTGCTTGAAAGTTGTTGAAATCAGTTTCAGTTTCTTGTTCTTCATAGTTGGAAAGCAACTCTAACATCTTTGATATATTCTCTGTGCTATTTGCAGGCATAGCTGAAAATGTTCCTAAATTCTTTACAAATATCCACCTGCACTCCAGTGACATTTTTCCCATCCTTCTCAAATAAAAGAGGGGGGGTATCCTCACTTGTTATGGTGTCTTTTCATGGGATTCCCAGAGTCACATGACTTATTCAGAATCTATACATACATGATATCATATGGAGTGCAGTAGACAGTTATTTCCAGTGTGCTATACGACTAAGTGTGTGTGTGTGTGTGTGTGTGTGTGACAACATACATTATCATATGTGGCAAAGTAGGATACCATAGTGATGAAGATATACATTTTCATAACAGCCAAAGGGTTAAACTTGTTTTTATAGTCCAAATAATACTAAAAAAAAGTTACAATTATAAATTAGTTCTGATTTTTGTGTTAAAATAACACATTAGAAATCTAATCTAGCTGATAAGAAATGGAGCCTAGGTTTTTCCCAATAGAAAAATTGAAATAAAATAATTGCTTAAATAAACTTGCATACTGGTATGTGTGCCACTGTGCACATGATTTAATTATGTAAAAAATCTCATAACTCTATACATGCAAGTCCATAGGTGTCCTAAAAACATTATAATTACTATTTTTATTGCATGTAGAATACTCAGATGTTAATAATAATATACAGTGTGTTTAATTTAGAAATTGGTCTTCAATTTTTGAATTTGTTATTGAAAAAAGAGCATTTATTAATATTTGCAAACAAATTATTTTGTGACTGCACACAAAATACATGCACACATAAAATCCCATTTTACAACTTTTTTGAAAAAAAAACAAGCTTTAGATAATTATGCTTAATTTTGTTCAGGTATACCAAGGTATCCTAAATTGAAGAAGGATAAAGCTCTCTCTGTATTCAGTTCTATTACAAAAATAGACCTTAAAGCAATCTTTCGTCTGTGTTTTAAGTCAATCAAAATTAGACTAGTGAATGTAAAATGTGAAGTTAAAATATTAACATATGCATATTTATTTAGAGCTTATATAAATAAAACAAATATTTACTTCATATGAAGCTCTTGGTAGGCGAGGTAACTTGACAATTGACTCCCCCTCCTCCACAGCCACATTTTATTATATTAATATAACTGACTAAAATAGGTAAAAAAAATATTTATTTGTTGTATTTCATAGAAGAATAAATTATTTAAAACTGTTTAAGTAGGAGAAAATAATGCAGGTTTCATGTTAAATTTTGTTTATTGTAATAAAATAATGTTGAACTATGCAAAGTTATATAACATAAGTGAGGGTTAAAGTTGTATAGTTATAGCTAATTTATTCTTCTGTAAAATATAAGAAATGTGTTATTTTTCTATTTCAGTCAGTTATATCAATATAAGAAGATATGGCTGTGGGGGCTGTTGTCCTACAACCATCAGCAGATATAAGTCTAATAACAGTATGCTTTCTATAAAGAGTATAATTTTACTCTCAATTATTTACAAAAATATAAAAAAGGTGTCATAAATGGCTAAGATATGTTAACCAAACTGACATTTGTAGGGCAGTTGTAATGTGCTAACTGTAAGCTTTATAATATCTTACAATAACTAACCTGTTTGTTTTCTAGCTAAAAAAATTAATAGCAAGTTAAAACATCTGTTGAAACCACTATTGGAAAATTTCTGATCACATGTCAATATGCCAGTATAAAGACACCTGAAAAGTGGGTCAAAATGCAGAGTGCATATTTTCTTTTATATAACATCTTGAAGTTTCATATGTCTCATTGTAAAGTTGGTTTTATTTTTTCCTCAGCTGAAAGATAAGAGCTTATCTTTAAAGGATATGGAGCTTTGTTGTAATGACCATGATGTATGCTATGGGACTTGCTTGGCTGACAAGGATTTGTGTGATTTAAAATTCAAAAAGTGTTTATATAACACCTGTGACAGACACAAGAAATTCCTACAAGAAGGTGGTCTTAAAGGTATGTTTTCCAATAAAATAAACATTTAGAAAAATATGCAAATATAATTATATTCAAATCATGTTTAAAAGTAATTTATGTTAAAATAATAATATTTATTGTGTAAAATAATAGAAGTAGCTATATTAGACATCGTAACCAATAGTGTTATTGAAAGTAAAGAAATAATAGTGTAACCTTACCTGTCTAATACATAAACGCTAGAGGTTTGCTTCATGCATTATCATAGATTTGATGTTCTGGCTGTGAGAGGATGCTATTACTTTACAAAATAATTTAGGCAATTTAGTGTGTTGGGCAAATCAATGGCAGATGAGTTTTAATTACAATAAATGCAAAAAAATGGATGTAGGTTATCATAATTTGAATTATAAGTATAGTTTGGATGGGAATAACCTTAACTGTGTCATGAAAGAAATGGATCTTGGTATAATGATTGATCACTCTTTAGCTAAGCAGTGTGCTGTTGCTAGTGTAAGGGGAAATAGGATTTTAGGTTGTATCTACAGAAATATTAAATACAGGTCTAAAGAGGTTATAATTTCATTGTATAGGTCATTGGTTAGGCCACATGTGGAATATTGTGTCCAGTTTTGGGCTCCTTATCTTAGGCAGGACATTGAAGAGGGTTACTAGAATGGTCCCTGAGATGGAGTGGGATTAAGAGATATTAAGATCTTTGAAACTGTTTTCTCTTGAAAAAAGAAGAGTTAGAGGTGATCTGATTGAGGTATTTAAGATTGTAAAGGGAACTGATAATGTTGATGCATTACTTTGATTCATACTTAATGGTGCAAATAGTAGGACTAGGGGACACAAATATAAATTTAGGCAAGGTAGGGATGATCTTCATCTAAGACAGTTATATTTTTCTAACAGGGTAGTTGACCTTTGGAATGAGTTGCCTTCAGATGTGGCAGAGGCAGTAAACTTACACGAGTATAAAGGAAGGCTCAATAAGTATATGAATGATAAGGGCTGGCTTTGAGAAGTTTCTTTTTTTAAATAGTTTTAGTTTAGTTTAGTGGATGGAACAGCCTAGATGGACCAATAGGTCCCATGTTGTCCCTAAGTATTATGCTATGTTTATAGAAATTTGTAGTCCACGTTGGAATGATTTAGAGATTTTGGCATTAAAGTTGGAATAATGGACTTTACTTTCCAGATAATAATGAAAAAGAAATAATTTCAACCAATTTTTTGCTAATGCAGGTTCATCAGGGCTAGTACAAAAATGATTGACATGAAAATATACATTAACTTATTTAAATACTTTTGGTGTTTTGTTTCTCAAATCCATCATAATGTGCTTTGCTTTGAATAATGTTTAGAATATTATTTGTTTCAGTATTGTTCCACTATGATAGTAATGATACCAACTATACTACTATATTAATATTTTACACATATTACTATTGTGAAATATTAAACTAAAGTTTCAAAATTGTTTATGATTTTCTACGAAATGAAGCAGTTAAGAAACAAACTTAAGTTGAAAGGATCCAAAATTTACTAATGATATTACGTACTTTGTTATTGATACAACAACTATAAAAGGATGGACTGTAGAAACGTAATAGTGAAAAGTGGTTGTAACACTGTGTGATATGATAGTGTATGCAAGTGATAATTTACAGGTTATGTTATTAAAGGTATTGGTATGATGTGTGTGTTTCAATGGAAATATAGTTACATGTACCGTCCTATATTTATTTTTGGATTTTTTTTATTATGTTTTCTTTTTTTAAAATCTTTGGTTCCTTTTAAGATAGAAACTGTGAATGAATTTTGGTTGTCCATGTGCAGTGTTCTAGTGTTGTGTAGATTGTGTTCTGCTGGGGCAGTTTTGTATTGTTCATATTTATCCAACTCATTAATATGTTCATAGATGTATGGTGTAAAGGTTCTTCATTTTCTCCTATATGTGTGTGTCTCCAGATGTATTGCATATGATTTGATAGACTATGTTTATGGTGTGGCATTTTTGTCTTGTACTGTTTTCTTGACTGTAACATTGTTTTTCCTCACATTTTGTTTGTGATCATAAGGAGCGAACTAATTGTTCTTTCATTGTTTTATCTGGTCTGTGTTATGATGATTGTCAGTTGGGATTGTTTAATGGATTTACAAATTCTGAGATGATACCTCGTGTCTGCACACAGAGTAACTAGATTCCTTTGCATATCTGCCTATGAGATTTGCATGTCACTAGTCTTGAGCTACCTCCCACCTAAAAACATGAGTTCAACATGAACTGTGATAGTGCATGATAACATCGCCTTGCAGTGATAGCCCTCCACCAATAAAAGGGCGACACAACCTCCTTGGAAAGTAGCTCCCATTAAGCACTTGCACTTAAATAACTTCATTTAACTTTCCTTGGTTTAGTGTTCATGATTCTTATAACCATTTTTTTTAAACTTTTAATTAGAGAAAAAAAAAATTCTTAATGGTGTTTTCTGCCATTATGAATTCTCAAGTGACAGTTTTGTTCTGTGTTAGTGATGATGTTCCTAACCCCATGCCTGTGGAGGATATGACAGCAATTGTTCAACATATGGATTCTTTCATGCACGCTGAGCCTTCTCCTTCTTTCCATTCAGCTGACACTCCTTCTCCTCAATTTGAGCATGAACAGGTTAATGATGATTTTGACTGGCTATTTCCACCACAGAGATTTGCTCTAGGCACAGCTTTATTTGCGGAGGAAAATCTTCACCATTTTAACCTCTTACTTGTCATGATTTCACAGGTTTGTTCTTTTCTTTGTCTTTCCCTCCACGTGGTTTGATTACTTTCATGCTTTACTACATTAATCTCAGACTCAACATACCTCATCCTTTTCATCTACTTGACTCTTTTGTCCTGGCTTAAAACCATTCTTCATTTCTGTTCTTTGATACCCCGTCATTGGAATCTCTTTTACTTACTTGGGGGGTGGATCCCTTAACTTCTATTTCCTTTTCTAGTGCTCAGGTTTCATGTCTTCATCTCTAGTATCACTCTCCTGCATTATCTCTTGTAATTTTATCTTGTGTTTGAGGCATTTTATCATGCTCCAGAGGAGTTTTCTGGAGAGATTCATTCATTTCACCACATTGGCCTTTTCTGCTCTATTCTAATGTATGCCTCCTTCATTCTTATCTTTGTGATTTTTGTTGGGATCCATTTTTTTGCCCAGAAGTCTTTGTGGGTGTTCCTGACACAGTGGAGACCTAGGTTAAGGCAACTTGGCATCAGTCCTCATTTGTCTATTTTAGTTTCTCATCTTTCTCAACCTCACTATTCAGTTCCTGTTCCTAGACCTTCTAAATCCACATCTTCCCTTCCCATTCCAACTTCCCGGCTTTCTTCTACTTCCTGTCCTCCCACTTCTCAAAATAAGGGTCCTTGCTCATCTCATCATTGTTTACCATTTTGGGTCTGACTCTGTGTGGGCCAGTCTCTCTCTTTGAGAGCCTTTGGTCACAATTTTCATTTGACAGTTGAGTTCTTCAGGCTCTCACCCACAGACTATTTCTCTGCTTCCTTTCCTTTCTCCTCTTTTCCTTTCCTCCAATCTCCTGTAGCTTCAGTTTCTTGAAGATGTAGTCTCAAATCTCTTAGCCAAGAATGCCATCAAGAGGGTATTTACCTCTATACCTGGCTACTGCTCTCATCTTTTTTGTGGTTCCCAAGAAGAATGGGGACTGGCATCTGGTTATTGACCTGTCATCTCTTAATCAGTTTGACTCCCCAATTGTGTAGCCTTTTGCTTATCCCATACCAGTCATCTTCAACTTTGTCCATCTATCAATGGAAGTGGCCAGATTTTTGATGTTGGTCCATCAGCCACTCCTTCCTCCATGTCATCCTACTGTTATCCACCTTTTTGCCTATTTTCTATGGTTGTTCAACTATGGATTGTCAGTTTCCACCATTTTAGGTATTGGGTGGCTTTATCAACAGTGTTTCACCTTTCCTGATACTGTCGTGTTCTTTCTTTTCTTGTCGTCTCCACATTATTCTGATTCTCTCCTCTTCACCAACCTACTATCATACCTTAAGGTGGTTTTACATGCTCTTACATATGCTCCATTTGAGCCATTGGCTTCATCTTCATTATATCAAGTTTCTCTGAAGAAATATTTCCTTCTCCTTGTTTATGGTCATCGTTGTTCAGATGTATGTGCTATAGATGCTTCCTTCACTCTCTTTCACTGTACTTACTTCTCCATCCAGCCCAGGCCTTTCTTCTTAAGACTTTAGCTGCTCAGGAAGGTGGTTGTTCTTTCACATTTTGTTGCATCAGATTTGTCAACTGTCTCACTCTCTTGCATTCCATTTTCACCGATCCTTGGGTGAAATCCTTCAGGCTGGCATATAGACGAATCCACATACATTCATTTCCCATTATCTTCATCATCTGGCTGTTTTGTCACCTATGAGATTTTGATTCCCTCTGGTCACTGTTCTTCAGACTACACATTGTTTTTGAGAAGGGTAAGTGCATTTTAATTTTCATTATCCTCATTTCACCCTCTTCCCTGTTATAGAATCCTGCGAGATGGTTGGCATTGCTGCCCAAGTTATGCTTATTTTCCAAAATACACCTCAGGATAGGGGTAACGGAAAGTGCTCAAACCATCCATCCTGGCTTTACCAGCATCTAGTGTCGAGATGGGATATTTTGCAATACCAGTAGAGGTATCCTCATGGATACCTTTTCAACAGATGCCTGGATCCAGGCACTTCTCCTTGTCTCCCCAACATAACTTCTCCATTTCTTCTTTAAGTGGAGCACAGGAGCCCTTGCCACTTACCAGTTCCTAGCTGCTGGTGTGGTGGACCTTGGAGAATTCATTATTGATTATATACAGCACAATACAGTGGGAAGTAAGGTGGTGGTAGCACTGTCTGTGTAGTACATTTCACCTCTCAAACAGCTAGTGTGCCCTCCTTCTCCAGCAGTTTGTTCATCACCCCCATCAAAGTCAGATACACACTGTACTGTCTGATCATACAACACTTCTTAGTTTGCCGACCACTTTTGTGAGGGTGATCAGCTGGTCATGCAAAAGTTCTGTCCATCCCTGTGACACTTGGGTCTCTTTTGCCTTTCTTTTGGATGAAAATATACCCTGTGTTGAGACTAGATGCTGTCCCCCACAGGTTTGCTCCTACGAAGCCTCTTCCTTTTGGTGTCGTACTCCATGGGCTTTCCCTTCGAGTGCTTTCTGAAAGGAGGTGAGATATCATCTTTGAAATTAGTATATTCCTCTCCTGAAAGTGTATTTCCGATACAGACTCACCTCCTTTCCACTTGCCCTCCCAACTTCTAGTGCACTTTCTTCTTGTTTCATCTAAGAATTAAGTTATTTTGAGTGCAAAAGCTTAGGAAGAGCTGCTGTGCAAAGAGGTTGAGTTATCATGCATTAGAACAGTTCACATTAAACATGTTTTATATTGGAAGTAGCTCAATAAGCGGCATCTAGTGCATTATGTGTATGGAGGTAAGGAAAATGTTAACTTTTGGTTGTGATTGTGTTGTTTATTAAAGATATGTTCATTGTAAGAGATGTTTTTGTATATCCTTTTTGTTTTTTGGGTCTGTTGCTTTCATGTTTTTTTTGTTTTTTTTTGTGTGTATGTGTATGTGTGTGTCCAAGATTAGTAGAACATAGAGGGCAAACTTTACTTGAACCAGATTTGGAAAGCAAAGCATGATGGAGCAGCAGCATCTTTTCAAAATCATTTTCAAAGAGGCATTTGAACTTTTTCTTTTTCTCTGAAAGTGAGAACCTTGGATTTGTTTTACAATATCAGAGTATTACTTCTTAGTTGTGGCGCACGTTATCAACTTTGTGATGTTGCCTGTGAAAAGATAAGAGCCCTACAACTGTAGAATACTATGAGATTCCTATTTGCCTTGAAGTAATTTGGTATTCTTAGCATTCTGTTAAAACATCAAGAAATCTTCAAATGTAATGTTTTTTGTGAATATTTTGCCAGTCATGGTCGTGCTGATAGTCTTATGAGATAAGTTTTGATGTGGGAATTATAAAATTCACAAATTGTTCATTTTGTAGATTAATCCAACAATCACACTAAAGATCCAATGTGCAAAATTCTTACACCTTGATATCACAGTTAGTTCTTCTGAGTTCCACTTTCTGTTGTGGGCTTGATAGTTGATCTTGTGTTAAAATTGTAGAGCTGAACCAAGTCTTGGAAGATAGCTAGTATAGACATTCACTTATGTTCAATTGTATGCCTGCAGCATATTCTAGTCTTACATGGTCTTTTAACTTATTATTACAAATCATTTTGTGTTTGAGTGCGAATAGGGGAGCCTATGTCCACACCAAGAAAATGATCCCCCATATCATTAATCAGTCTATCAGCCTACACAGTTGAAGTAAGACAGGAAGAGTCCACAGCCTCATGATTTTGTTGCTTCGCTCTTACCTTTCTTCTCTACAGAACAATGTATAACAGAGATATTTGAACCACATAACATGTTTACAATCATCTAGTGTCCATTCTCAGTATTCTGGTTGTTATTTTTGTTGATTTGTAACAGAAATGAATGTTTTACGTGTATCTGTACAACAGCAAACCTCATTTCCTAGAATTGTTACATTGTGAAACGTCTGTTGGACTACCTACACAATCTTTGATAACTTCAATCTATTCTTATTCCCTAACAGCCCACGTTTCCTTATTGATTGACATTTTCTAGAATGATAACCTTGTAGAATAAACTTGAGACACTAGTCTTTCAACTTCATTGTCTTCTTTGTAGAAGCTCCTGCCAATCATAATCCATTAATAACAGCTTGTTTTAAGTCTGTTAAATCTGTTATATGTCTCGTGTTGTGGAATCCAATGCTCCTGGTTCTCACTGAGTAGTTTTATACCTTCATGAAGGTGTCACATGTAAGACAACATGAGTGGTCAAATTTGAACACCACACATTTTAGTAGTATCTATTCATTTCAGTTAGAGCAGGAGTAACAAAACCATGTGAAGTACCTTTAAAGTTCTAACTTTGCTCTTTATTTTTCCCTGTTGGAAAATTTGAGTCACCTTCATTTTCCAGCTCTGTCGGTTACCTGCCATGCTGAAGGCAACAAACAATATCATCACACACTTGGTTTCCAAACTCTTGACATAAGCCACTCAAGTTGCTAAGATGCTATCCATGTTCTCCCAACTCAGTGTGCATAATGTAAGCATAAGCCAACCAGCATGCTTGATCTGATTTTCCCACTGAGAGTATGTCAGTAGTAATTACATGCATCAGTTTTTTTGCAAGTTTGTTTCAAAATAAAAGAAAAAGTTGACAGTATATTCTATTTTTAGAGTTATTATCCACTATTATCAGTGGATTATGGAAGGGTGTTAATAATGATTAGGAAAATTATTATGTCTTCTTCAGCATATGGATTGCTGTATTTTTGATTGGCTTGTTTGTTATGAGAAGTAATTGTTAATTATGCAAAGTATTTACCATAAAGTGGTATCACTTTGAATTACCTTTACTTACAGATTAAATTGCATTTTAAGCATACAGTCAAATCAGACTTGTATATTCTTGTGCATAATAGTATTCTAGCTAATTGGTTAGGCATAAAACCTTTGATATAATCTGAGTTTAAAAATTCTGACCAGAAACAAAAATCTGATAAAAAATTAGAAAACAAAATACCAAAAGAATTTTACAGAGTTTTGAATCAGAATGACTTCAGTTGGTACATGCAAGAAACCAAGGGATTTTGGCTCAGTTTGTAAAGGTATAGGAAGAAAGAATGAGTATTCATGTGGGCATAAAAATCTGGTGTAAATTATATATCTTAAAGTGAAGTAAAATTCATCTTACAGTAATTATTTACAAAGAAAGTTTAAGCTGCCTAGAGTAGTAACTTGTTGCTTGTGTGAAATGTGTCTCATACTACGAAATATCTCATATAAATCACTAATTAAAGTTTACAGTTTTCATTTACATGGAGTAATTAACAGGGAAAGCACATTATGCTGCCAAATGTATAATAGTTATAAGGTAACTTGACTATTTTTTTTGTTTGATATATTTTCCCAATTTGTATCTGTGCTCTGTGAAACACAACAATAATATAATTAATGCTTCACATTATATGTTTGTATATATGTGTGTGTGTGTACACCAAACACACACACACACACACACACACACACATATGCATGTAATGGAAATAATTAACCCCTAAATAAACATTGTGATTGTATTTGATACAGAAATTTGAAGTCTCTCTATATTCAAACACTTCTCCCTGTTGGCATCTGAAGGGAGAAGTGAATTCTCCATGTTTTTGGAGTCTGGATTGATCCTCCCCTCCCCTCTGAGTTAGGGTTTTGGTTTTTAAACAAGCAGAGTATAAAGCTTGTTTCATTTAATTTGTGTTTCTTTCATATATCATTGCAGGTATATCATTTAAAATAATAGATAGTAATATTATGATACACAGTTTTTGCTATTTTTAAATAATGAAATTTGTTTTATAAAAGACCTACAGTTTTAGGACATAGTATAAAGTATATTTGACTTTGATAGACCATCAACATTAATTGAATCAGATGTAACAACTAAAATAAGGCTATGGGAATATCCATAACATTTTGAAATTAAAATGTTGTTCTCTCTCTCTTGATTTTTTCACCTTTTTTAGGTAAACAGTTGTGTTTATGTGTGTGATTAAATTTATTTTTCATATATGTGTATTTTTTTACTTTCCATCATTTTGATTAAAAGGTTGACTTTAGTATAACTGATTTTTTGTTTTTTTTACAGGATGCAAAGGTGCAGCAAAGCTCTTCTATCTGGCAACAGTTGGACTTGGCTGCAAAGCCTACTTAGATTCACAGAAGAAGGCTTGTATATGTATTTATAGAAATGAACTGTGATACTGTAAGTCAAATCATAAAAATCAAAATGTATAAAGAAATGTTTTATACAACCAGTTAGATCCCTGGGCTTTCTGCATCTGCAATGCTATTGAATTTTTTTCCATGTCTTAACAAAATAGCACAGAAGAAAAACTAGTCTGGAATTGTTTTTGTGGTATAAAAATTTAACTTCTATGTATACATTGTAAAATAGAAAGAAGGATTTTATGTATAAAAATGTCTGGATCATTTACTAGAAAAAAAACAACAATGCATAAAATAAGCTTCCACAGCAAAAGGATGGTAAAATGACCTGAAATAGTCTTGATATGATGTTATGGACAGTTTCTAGTTTGAAACATTAATGAATTAAAAACATTCTTCCAATTTAAGCATCAAGTTTTGTAGAGTATTCTGTAATACCCCTTTTTTGATGTAATTATATTTTTGATCATTATGCCCATCATATTATGCACATATGCAAATTTGAAGTTCATCATAAATCTTATAGTAATCTTGTTCATTCATTCATGCCATGTACAAGCACAAAATTGCTTTTAATGTGCTCACAGTTTTTAAGATTGTATAATTTGATTGTTAATGTAATAATGGTTTTCATTGTTCCTCAATTCCATTATGAGAATGTTGATGTAGCTATACTGTATTAGCTTTTGATTACATTAAAATGGCAATTAGATTAATTTAATAATATTTTCTACTTGAATTAACAATAAGTTTTCACATGAAAGTATTTCATTCAATGAAATACAGTATACCTTATCTTAAAAATTATGTTGTACACTTACGGATAGAGTAAGTATATAAAATAAATGTGATATTTATTTTCTGTATCATTCGTACAAATTTTATTTAATTGTAATTTTAATAAATAGTTTAAAGGGCCAAGCACTGCATTTTGGAGGATCAAGGTGCAAATGTCAGACCTTTTATTACAGAGTTGCATTCAAATTTTAATTAAACCAATTTATTATCAACTTATGTCAATAAACATGTAATCAAAGTGTAGTTTATAATTTAAATTTCTATATTATCTAAGTTTTAATTTCTTAGTTTCAAATGGAAATAATTAAATACATTCTCAATCTCTACTTCTCTCTGTCATGTGACACATCTTGCACACTGAATTATCCCATATATATATATTTTTTTTTCTCTTCTCATTTGTGGGTTTCAGAGCATCCATCCAATTAGAAGCTCAAACTGTTGACAGTGACAGACTAGAATATAAAATTTGAACCTCCTAATTTCTTTATTTGCTGAGATATCAATAAATTTGTCAAACCCACCAGAGAGGCTTATCCCATCTTACCACAACTTTAAGGCAGTTATTTAAACTGAATGTACTTATAACCAATAGAAATAGCATTTTTTCCTTTATACAGATCTTATTACCATGTGTTTCTTTTTATTGCCCATTCGTAGACATTTGGCCTCAGATTCTTTGTATTTGTTGTTCAGCTCCAAACAGCTAACAGGACTTCTTAAATCTATTTATAGCCTAGTTAGAAAGCTAGTTAAATTAAATTAGTCTTGGGACACGCTATTCTAGTGCCTGATATATCTTTTTGTGTTCTAAAATGCATATACGAAAGCTACATGAATTATTTTTGGACAGTCAACATAGGTAGAAAAAAAGTAGGGTTACTGAAGGATGGCATCCAAGTGCAAGCAGCCTGTATGCTTAAAGTAAGTGTTAATTTCTTGTTTTTTATATATATCTATATATTTGATATATTGTTATATGTTTTTTAACAAAATCAATTGAAATGTAAAAATGAGAAACTCGTTAGACTACATTTCAAAACTTAAGGAAATTTAAAATTTTTTATCAAGATCATTTAACAGGAATGCTCATGCATCGTGTGATTGTAACATGACCATTTGTTTACACCAAGCTCTACTGTGATTTATTGTTTTTTCACATACTGATAAAGGTCTAATGTACACTATAAAGCAATAAGAAAGCAGATGTGAAAATGTTAGAAGCTGAGGCTGCTATGATAAATAATTGTAATTGTCTATTATAATCTACAGTCATTTCAGAAAAAAAGGTGCTACTAATTTTGTTTCAGGTTTTTCAACTTTTCATTTCACAGTATGTTGATTTCACTACAGTTAGTGTTAGATTAGGGAAAATACTTTAAATATTAATTTAGGAAATTCTGGAGGTTATTCAAGTGAAAGAAAACTAAGACTAAAAGTAGTATTTTATTTTTAGCATGTAAGTCACCTTTCACTCAGACTGACTCATGATTAAATATTTTAAATTCAAATTTAAAAGTTTGATTATTTATTGTTCACCTGAGCAGCTGATTCAAGCTTAATAAATTATATTTTTATTTTGTAAAAGTACTTGGGGTATAATAAGAATGCTCAACCCCTTTGAATGTTTCAACATATTGTTACTTGTTTTTCAATCTTAGAAGTTCCAAGTTTAATGTTAGAGCAACTGATTTGTCCAATTCTAGTAAAACGTATTAATTGATTCAGGTACTTCTTTTAAAATTGCCAAAACCATAATTAGATGTATTATAAGGCAAATGATTGTTTTGAATGTATTGATATAGATGTACAAGCTATCCATAAATTATTGAACTACTTTCTTAACAGAATAGAACCACACGAGATAAACATTTGCAGTTTGTGGCATGGATAGATTGATATCTGAAGTTTTTCCCCTACAGCTTAGTTAGGGATATCTGAAGGACATTGTCTATAAGACAATGGGGAGTGTGTTCAACTCTGTGAGAGATGCTCCTGAGACATGGGTGATTTTACATAGGTTTTGATTAATTTTGGCTTTGATATAGACTCTTTTCAACAAATGCAACAATCACTGGAGCTGTAAGTAACATTTGGAGAGCAATTCACACTTTGAGATGTACTGCTGCTAAATCATTTGTGTTAATATAATGCAGTCATTATTCCAAGAATGCCAAATGTCTCTGGAAGAGTTGTAGCTAGATTTTGAAGTTGAACTTGTAAGTCAGTTACATGTGACATACTCCGCCTGTACTGAATAGTGCTCGAGCTACATCCTTGCATGATTTTAATAGTTCATTTGCTCTACACTTTGAATTGATTTAATATCACACGGAAAACAAAAAATTTACATGTAATTATGGAGCAACTGAACTCTATCTCCCAATTTTATTAAAGCCAGTCTACTACAATGTAATAACTGTTGTTATGCAGGAGCGATTGGTTCTTCCTCTGATTTATGACAAATAAAATATTTCTTTTATTTGACACTAGTTTCCAGTAATCCTGGAATACTTGATAATTTTGCTACTGGTTTTTAGCATTTGTTACAACACCATCAAAATCATTTTGTGTATTGAAGAAGGTTTTTCTGTATGCCATTGATTAAATTATTAGCATTTGTATAAATTATCATTAATAGTGTAAATATATTTACTATGTTGTTGTTTTAGGCTTAGGATTCTTTTACAGTTAGTGTCTTTGATTTGTTAGCAATAAATAAACAGCATGCACATCACTTGTTTTCAAAATAATATATATATTCGGAACAAGTTAAACGTATTTACAACAAATTCTTTACACTATAGAGATTATAGGTATATCATAAACACTATATATGTAGTTTTCTTCTTGTCAAAAGTCCACTTAGGCCTATTCAATTACTTTAGAATTGCAGTTGACAAGCTAAATTATGTTCTCTATTACTATTGCACTATTATTCTGTGCGTGATTGATTCACTTACAATTGTGGCGTGAGTTACCATAATCATTTGGTCTTCTTTCTTCTAAATATCCTCTATTCCTTTTGTCATAGTGTGCTCAGGCTTATTCAATTACTTTAGAACCACACTTTGATGGAAGAAATTATTATTCTTATCTCCTTTTCTATGTTAGTCTTACTCTAACATGTTAAACATTAGGTATATGTCGATCAAATATAGGCCTATCACTTCTCTGGTAGTTAACTTTTCCTTTCGTAACTTTATTCTGCTATTATGTCTGCCGTTTCTGCTCCTCTCACGCTATTTCTATCTTTATAACTTAATCATCTGTCTGCCTTCTATATTCTCAACGTCAATGTATTGCACATTATGTTCAATAGTCTCAACATCAATAAATTGTAAACAAAACTTCCTACAATCGTCTGCTTTTAACTCTTATTGTAACAAAAGCTAAACAATAATAAAATATTCACTCACAAAAACAAATCAATCAATAATATCTAAACTAAACAGTCTTTTATATCATGACAATTTATTATGGGATTAAACTTGGCCATCAATTTCACTTTAGTGAAAAAGTTCTGTTGAAGAGGTAATTTAACCTATCAATAATTCTAAAAAAAACTGATTTCTCTATGTCAAATGTATAACTATTGCAATTATCCTATTAAATAATATGCCTGCTGCTCAATTTTGGTTCAACTTTGAATTGTACTATCTACTGCAGATTTCATTTTTGACCTATGCTCTAATTCCTTCCATTTAATAAGGCATTCCATATGTAATAAACTTCTTTTCTTGTGAGATTATAGTTTTTTTACATGTTGCCAGGCACAGTAATCTTCATTAGATAGCTGCATTTTATTTGTCAAGAGACAATTTATAGGAAAAGTGGAACACTGCATTTAATTTCAAAAAATATATCCACCAAGGATTTGGAACATTTTCCATATTTTTCATTTTCTCATAAATAGTTATCCTGTGAAATTGTCCTCCAGACTGGTTTCTGTAAGGGGAAAAATTATACTTTTAATGTGTACATGTCTGTGTTTTATCAACATACTCGTTTTCAGTTGTTTATACTTTGTAGCCATGAGCCATTATCCAAGATGTCAAGTTCTAGTTTATTGTTATTATCTTCATGAATTGTTTCTTTAGAATGCAGTAAATTTTATCTTGGTCTTATTTCAGTGGAACTTTGAACAGAATAGATGTAATAGGTTTGAAAATTCAGGCTTTCTGTAAGTCCTTATAAGTACTTGTGTAGTGTTTTATAAAGGTAAGCATGGCTATGTGATAAAGCTTTGGGGTTGAGCAGGTGTGGTGATTGGTGGGTGTGGTCAGTAGGAGCTTATTGGGGATGGTTGTCCATAGGTCACTGATGTGCAAACCATTGTCTCTACTGAGTTCATTTTAGTGTAGTTTGTAGATAGATTCTTTGACTTTTCTTTCTTTCCAGTTGCAAACTTTGTCTAAAATTCCATGTTGATTTCAGTTTATGATATGTCATGTTTTGTAGTTATGTTTGGGAAAGGCTGATTTATTTGGATGTGATAGTCTAGTTGTATTTTTGTTTTTTTTTAACATTTATTTTGTTGTCTGACCAGTTTTTTCAATGTGAATGCTGCCACAGGAACATGGCACAACATGGATGAGTTCTTTTTGTT